CCTATGCAGGGTCACTATGAGTCGGAACCAACTGCACGACACATAACAACAACTATCTATCTATCTATCTATCTATCTATCTATCTATCTATCTATCTATCTATCTATCTATCATCTATCTATCTATCTAATGGAGTATAGATATGGTGCTGTAGGATAATCACTTGACTGCTAATCACAAGGTCAGCAGTTCAAACCCACCAACTGTTCTTCAGAACCCCTGCACAAGGTTTCTATGAGTTGGAACCGACTTGATGGCACTTAATAACTGTATATAATATAAATGTCAAATGCATATGTGTGTTGTTACTAAGTGTAGTCGAGTCAATTCCACATTATAGTGACCCTGTGTAGAGTTTCCAAGCAGTGGCTGGTGGGTTTGAACCCCCAACCTTGCAGTTCAAATCAATGTTGCAGTCCAGGACTCTTTCTATATAATTGTTGTTAAGTGCTATTTCTGAGGAGCGGCTGGTGCGTTTGAACCACCAACATATAATTTTTGTATTTGGGTTGCATCTTTAAGGTTTTTTTCATGAAGTTCTATATAGTCTTTGATATTATTTTTTGGGGTGAGAGCAAATACTTCTTGTATACGTTTATAATCGTAGCCAAAGAAAGAGCCATGATATGTTTTGTTGTTGTTCTGTGCTGTTGAATCGGTTCTGACTCATAGCGACCCTGTCTGTATAGGCTTTCCAAGAGTGGCTGGTGGATTTGAACTGCCAACCTTGTAGTTAGCAGACTAGTGCTTATTTTATAGTGCCATACCAAGATACCTTTATTAGAATATGCATATTTTCATAAAGATCCCTGGTAGTGTAATGGTAATGCATTGGGCTGCTAACCTCAAAGTCAGCAGTTCAAATCTACCAGCTGCTCTGTGGGAAAAGATGAGACTTTCTGCCTTGGAAACCCTATACAGGGTCGCTATGAGTTGGAACCTACTGGCACACCACTACCATCATCACCATATTTAGCATAAGGAGCCCTGGTGATGCTGTAGTATAAGCACTGGAATTTTAGCCTCAGGTCAGTAGTTCAAACCCACCAGCTGCTCCAGGGAGAAAGATGACATTTTTCTGCTCCCATAAAGATTTGCAGCCTTGGAAACCCTATAGGGGGTCACTATGAATTGGAATGGACTTGACGGCAATGAGTTTGGTTTTATGTTTGGTATAGGTACTCTGGTGACACAGTGGTTAAAGCATCTGTTAACTGAAAGGTTAGTGGTTCAAACCCATTACCTGCTCTGTGGGAGAAAGACGTGTCTCTCTCTGCTTCCTTAAAGATTTATAGCTTGCTTCTATGGTAGCATAGTGGTTATGAGTCATGCTGATAAACTCAAGGTCAGCAATTTGAAACTATCAGCTGTTCTGTAAGAGAAAGATGAGGCTTTCTGCTCCTCTAAAGATTTACAGCCTCAGAAACCCTGTGCAGGGTTGCTGTGAGTTGGAACCAACTCCATGGCACATCATCACCACCACCACCGCCATCCCTGAAGATTTACAGCATCGGCTACCATGTGGGCAGTTTTACTCTGTCCTGTAGGATTACTAAGAGTTGAAATGGACAGTGCAACAATGAGTTTGCTTGTTTGTTTTTATGTTTATCATATTAATTCTTTTGATTTAAAAAAAATCTTTGATTTAGCCTTTTCCCCTATAAAGATTTCTGTCTTTAAAAGTTTTCTGAATTATGTGTAGTTTTGAATTTGTAAGTTATATTGCTTTACCTTTAGCATAATTATTTTGTTTGTTTTGCAGGCTTTTCAGAAGTTCTCACAGATCACACTAATTTTTAGACAATATAAAGAAGGGAATCATGAACACTAAGGATTTTGTAGTTCTTCCATGGGGAAAACCTGGAAATTCTGTAAAGCTAAAATATAAGTAAGTATATATATTTATTACTTTATATAGAAATTACACAATTTTTGTATATTTTCAACTATAGTTATTACGTGAAGTTTTTAGAGTTGAACTCAAACCTTGCAAACTCTTATTTCCATTTTCTTCACATTGTTGTATTTTTATCTGTAAGATACTAGATTTTAAATGTTAGGTAGCCTTCTATATAAATCTGTAATAGTTTAAATAATGAAAGCAATAGGTTTTTTTTATGCCATAAAAATCAAAGTGAAAAGTTATAAATGAACAATGGGATTATTATGTATTTTATCAGTGTAACTTGAAGTACTGCCATAGGATAAGCACTCGACCTCAAGGTCAGTTTGAACTGCAAGGTTGGAGATTCAAACTCACCAGCCACTCCTTAACAACTCTATACAGGGTCGCTATAAGCCGGAATGAACTCAATGGCACAAAACAACAATAGCAACAAATTCAATGTTAAATAGAATCATCCTGAAATTTATAGATATATTGAAATTGAAGGAGAAATTGGGGTAAGAGATCTTTAAATAAAGAAGAAATCACTAAATGTCCTATTCCTTGGCAGAGCAAAAATCATTATGGTGAATTCACTTTTCCCAGGAAGGGTACTGTCTTAGCTATCTCATGTTGCTCTAACAGAAATACTACTAGTGAGTGGCTTTAGTGAACAAATATTATTTTCTCACCGTTTAGAGCACTATAACTCTGAATTCAGGATGCCAGCTCTAAGGGAAGGCACTGTCTGTGCTCGAGGACAAGTCTTTGTCTCAGTTTCTTTTAGTGTTCCTTGCAGGTCTCAGGAGGCATCATTTCCCCCCATCACCCTTCTTCTTATGATTGTTTGCCTAAGCTGCTCTTTCATATTTCAAAAGTGAATGGCTTAAGCCACATCCTACACTGATAGAGCCTCATTAACACAACACAGGAAAATCCTGTTCACAAATGGACTTATATCCACATGTATGCTGTTGTTGTGACTCATAGTAGCCCAATGCACAACAGAATGAAGCAGTGTCCCATCCGGTTCCATGTTCCCAATCATTGTTATGTCTGAGCTCTTTGTTGCAGCTACTTTGTCAATATCCACATGGATAGAGATTAGGTTTCCAATACATATTTTTTTTTGAGGGGGTGAGTTACAATTCATCCACAAGAATACTTTTTTACCCTCTATTAGTTAAAAAAATGCATTCAGTAAAAGTCAAGCAATTATTTGTCTCCTGAGGATTGCATGACACATACAGGTACCAGAGTGCTCAAAACACTATTTCTTTGAGATCACCTATAGTCACTGAAATATCCAAGGCCTTTCCCTCAAATATTACTGAGGGCTGGTCAACATAGGTTGAGAACAGGCTGTCGATTATTTATTTTAGTGTCTGAGTTGCCTGATCCCGATCAATACTCCCGTCATTATCCAGTAACTTCAGTACTATCCTTGTACCACTTTCACTTTGGAGATACTGTGTGCAGAAACACTATATAAACTGGAAGCTCCTATACAATTACATGGCATTGTCACTGCTAGGTGTAACACCATTTGTTTCAATTATCTGGGGTGGAGGTTAACTTATGGGGATAGATTAGAAGGACTATCCAACAGCTAGCACTACCTTCCCCTCCCCACCCCCCATGGAAAAAGAGAAAGGAGCATGCATTTTTTGGATATGTTTCAAGAAGCCTGCATGTATTTCTGTAAACATTAATCCAAGACACCTATGCTAAGAACAGATGTTCTAAACACTGTGTTAGGGAAAGGTGGATACAAAAGTAGTAAGTCATGATTGTAAATGTAAATTACGTTTACACTGTGGTAATGAAAGAATGAAAGCACAGGGGGCTATGAACACATGGCCAAAGCTGCTGGGGCAGAAGTAAGGAGATCTACATGCTTTGCCCAAGATAGGATGCTGTTGTTGTTAAGTGTTGTTGAGTTGGTTCCAATTCATACTAATCCTTTATAAGGTTTTGGAGGAGCAGCTGATTGTACTTGATTGAACTGCCAATGCTGTGTTTCAAATGACCTTGCAGTTCAGTGTGTAAACCCACAGCATCACACCAAGATGCCTAGTTGAGTAATTACTGGGTGAAATTTGTGCCAGATACTGCAGAGACTTTTCGACATATCCAGATGGCTAATATAGAACAAACTTGCCATAATGGCATACTACGAAGTTTGGAATTTATTCTGGAGATGAGTGAATAATCAGTTCCCTGACTCATATTTCACCTTAACCCACCCATATCCGACAGATTCATAAAATCCAGGACATGAACACTCACTGTATGATAATTGCCATGGAGTTCCTTTCCTTGTTCCATGCCTGTTATCACATGGCTGTATTTAAGCTTGGCTCTGCTCTTTCTAATGTTTTCACCTTCTTTCCTTTTCCCAAGTCATTTCAGTCTGGTTGCTGGCCCATGGGTTTTTTGTGTTGACATGCTCTCTCCAGGATCAACATTCAATTTCCTCTGTCTCTGGGTCCAAGGCTGTCTCCAGAAGGAATCCTTTGAATTGTGATACATCCATAGAATCCAATCATAGACTGATCACCTGGGTGGTAGCCAGCTCTTTTTTTCAGTTTCACCACTTACCCCACCACATCGATAGGTTTTCTATCCAAGGGAGTAACATCCATTTGTGCATTTAAACTCTTTCCTTGGATACAGTATGGAAAGTATCGTATGCTATTGAAGCTTTGTTGAAAGTATGCAGGTGGGGAGACCAGCTGGGGACCAGTCCTGAATTGTGTCTTCTGATCCACCTCACACCCTACAGTGCTCTAGTCCAGGAAACAGTACCAGTTGCCTCCTGTTTACTTAAGTAGAAAACCTGATACTGATGTTAGATTTCTTCCTTGTTGTCTTTCTTATCTGGCTTCCACTTTGGGTCCAGCTAATCCTAGTTCCTTCTATTTCTCAGGTGTTCCCACTTTTCTCTTTATTGCCTTTATATAGTCAGACTAACATGATCCCTCTCTTACTTGGATTATTGAAATAGTTTCCTAACTGGCTACCTGCTTCCAACCTTGCAGGTTCTAATTAATTTTCCATAATATAGCCAGAATGATGTCTAAAATACAAGTATGATTATTTTTCTTAAACCCCTTTAATGTATTCTCTAATGGTCATTGGATAAAAATTGTAATTTGTCTTCATGACCTGGCTCCTGTCCAACCTCAGCAATTCCATTTCTTACCACTTTTCTCATCCTGCACTCAATGGCCAGCTGGGCTGAGCTTCTTCTTAAACTTCACATTGCTTTTTTCCATCTTTGCCCACATTCTCTTTTCTTCCAGGAACAGCTCTTTCCCCACCTTCTTTGTTGTTGTTGGTAAGTGTTGTCCAGTCTGTTTTGGCTCATAGAGATCATGTCAAGCGGGTTTCAGAGACTTTTTAAATCTCTGGAGGAGCAGAAAGCATTGTCTTTCTCCAGTGAAGTCTCCAACCTTGTGGTTCAGAGTCTAGTGCTTATTCTATGTGGTTTGCACCCACCTACCTCCTTTAGACTGACTAAATCCTTTTGTCTTTAGAACTCAGCCCAGGCTTCACTTTCTACAGGAATTCTTCCTGCACTCAAAGTGCTGGGATATGTGCCCCATCTGTATAGGTAGCTGCTGCACTTCCCAATGAGGGCACCGTTGTTTTCATGCAGTATTTCAGTTGCCCTCATACTGTTCGTATTCCTCTCAGGACTGGAATCTCCATTGTGCCTCATATTCTGTAACCTATTACGGACCTTAAGAAGTCCTGGTGGTGCTGTGGGTTAAGCATGGGGCTTACTAACTGCAAATTCAAACAAACCAGTCACTTCATGGGAAAACGATGAAGGTTTCTGCTCTAGTAAAGATTTTTTGTTGTTGCTGTTAAGTGCCGTTAACTCATTTCTGACTCATTGTGACCCTGTATAGGGTTTTCCAAGAGTGGCTGGTGGGTTTGATCTGCCAATGTTCCACTTATCAGTCCAGTGCTTATCCTACAGTGTCACACCAGGACTCCCCATACAACTTCAGAAATCCCATTCAGGATCGCTGTGAGTCATAATTGATGGTAGTCATTATTACAGAGTTTGATCTTTGTTGTTGTCAAGTGTTTTTGAGTTGGTTCCGACTCATAGCAACCTTGTATAGGGTTTCTGAGGAGTGGCTGGTGGATTTGAACTTCCAGCCTTGCTATTCAAACTGAGTCTGTGGTCCAGTGTTTATATTACAGCATCATACCCGGACTCCAGTTTGATCATGTTGTTGATGTGGTTAAGTGTCGAGGAGTGGGTTTTGACTCATAATGACTCTGTGTAGGGTTTCCAAGGAACAGCTGGGTTTGAACTGCTGACATTGTGGTTTGTAGTCCAGTGTGATCATTTGTTGTTGTTATGTTGTGTTGAGTCGATTCTGACCCATAGCTACCCTGTATAGGATTTCTGAGGAGCAGCTGGTAAGCTTGAACTGCCAACCTTGTTGTGGTTCAAATCGTCTTTGCAGTCCAGCATGTTAACTCATAGCCCCACACCAGGGTTACAGTGTGATCATTGTTGCTGTTGTTGTTAGTGCCGTTGAGTTGATTTCCACTTATACAACCCTGTATAGAGTTGCTGAACTTTTGAATCTTCACTGGAGTAGAAAGCTTCTTCTTTCTCCTAAGAGTGTGATCATGGTGGTGGGTATGTGCCATGGTGTTGATTCCAACTCATAGCGACCCCGTACAGGGTTTCTGAGGTTGTAAATCTTTACGGGAGCAGAAAGCCTCGTTTTTCTCCTGTGGAACAGCTGGCACTTTCAAACTGCTAACCTTGAGGTTAGCAGCCCGACTCATAACCACTGTGCTACCAGAGCTCCTTGTGTATGCCTAAGAGAATGGTCAGATAAGTGGCTAAATTACAACTTATCAAGAAAATGCAATGAAAATAATGCCTCTCTCAATTTATTTGCTAGCCTTTCTGAAATTTCAGGGTTGCCTTTGTCTCCTATCACTTTTTGGTTATCTTTTTCGATATTTGGGGACATTTGCTCATTTGTAGACATGTGCTCATCTCACTTGCCCTTCTGTGGCTCCTACTGGCTATATTAATTAGTTTCCTTTTCTGAGCTCCGTTATTCTTTAGTCTAGTCCCTTGGTTAGCTGCCAGAATATGCGTCTTGCCCTGGTTATTTGATTATAGTAAAACAATGTAATTATGAAAGAAAACAGATAATTCATAATAGATAATAACAGTGTAGTTAGAAAAGTAGGTTGACTTAAATCTATAAAAGAGGCAGTGACTATGCTAGCAAGAAATCAGATTTGTAAAAAGAAGAAAATGACTGGATAAGCTTAGATATTACTGTTGAAAACTCCTGACCAGATAACTTATTGCAAGGGGCCTTCCTTCTGAGGAAACAGCTGGTAGTACTCCGATCAGTTCCTGGTCGGTCACCTTTTGATGACTCCTATATGAAAAGCTCTTAATAGAATTAATTTTGTTTCTTCCCAAATGGGTCTCAAACTTTTCTTATTTGAAAATTATACCACTGTGATGCTAAAGGAGCCTTGGTAGTGAAGCGGGCTATGCATTCGACTGGTAATTGCAAGATTAGCTGTTTGAGTCCACCAGGCACTCCCCCATAGAAAAGTGAGACTTTCTGCCCTGTAAAGATTTGTTGTTGTTAAGTGTCATCGAGTTGGTTCTGACTTATAACAACCCTGTATAGGGTTTCCAAGGAGGAATTGGTTGGTTTGAACCACTGATCTTGTGGTTTGCAGTCCAGTGCTCATCCTATAGTGCCATACCAAGACTCCCTCTACAGGGTAACTATGAGTTGAATACACTCCATGGTGCATCACCACCACCACCATATGACACTAAGGTAGGAATTTATTTTAAGTTTCTAAATGATCAGTTTATTTGAAATGTGTGTTTTGCCAAAATAGAATAGCAAAGTTATTTTAAATAAGATGCTTAAAGGAAAAGCAATATGAAAATGAGAAAATGTTTTTTCTATCATGTTGTGCATAATTGTGCATCTGTAAAGATGTGTAGGGAGTAAATTATGATTATTAAACTTCTAGTTTTGCAAAGCTGTCAAGTTGATTCTGACTCATAGCGACCCTGTATTGAGTTTCTAAGGAGTAGCTGGTGAGCTTGTGGCTCAAACAGACATTGCAGTCCAGTGCATTAACTCATAGCACCACACCAGTACTTGATAGGGAAAACAAATGCCAGTTTTTAAAGGAAACCTTGATTAGGGAGAACATTAATTAAAGGAACATATTAAGTTTGCAAATCAGATTTTTAAAAAATTATGAAAGATTTGAAATGTCTCATCATTTATTATTTAAAATTCAATTTATGGACAAAATACAGCATTATATTACACTGGTATTTTATTATTATACTTACCAATAATTTTTTTTTTTTCATTCCAAATGAACATTTTGCATTTAAATCTTATTTCTTCAGAAATGCCCAAGAACTGCGGATGGAGAAAGTGCAGTTAGAGTTGGAGAACCAAGAAATGGAAAAGAAACTACAAGAATTAGAAGCAAAAATGAACAAAGAAAGGGACAAAAAAGAGTGGGTGAAATTTTGAAAGAACTTTGGAGGGATTTACTGAAATATGCAAAGAAGTATTTTATATATTATTGTCATTCTAGTAAAAATCTTTAGTGAATGAGTAAATTATGGCTTTCTCTTTTGAACAAAAACTTACATTTCCCCACATTTTTCTTTCTTTTGCACCATGTAGCATGTACTTTGCAAACTGCCATTAACTTTTTCCCCTTATACTATTTGGCCCAACCTTTACTTATTTTTCTTCTTCCAAATCATTTCTGACCTATAATATTTATAATGACAATGCAAGCTTTGCCTTTGCTCTTATAAAATGGCCATCCATAAGAAATGAAAACCAGTTTACTTTTAGGACCATTTTTACTTATGAAAAGGCTTTCTGAGGGAAAGAGTTTGTATGTACACGTTAAAGTTAATCAAGTAGTTTTAAATTATTTCTAACAGATACTCTTTATCAGAAATTTTATTAGTGAGAAGTTATATAACAATACATAACAACAACATATTCCATTTACCTTTGATTGATGCTAGTGATGAGCATCAAATACCTATGAAATACAAATATCTTATTATTGATTGAATATTACATATTTGTCATTAGATCTCAACTCTTTGAAAAATAAACATGGCATATATATTGTTGATATGTGCCATGGAGTCGGTTCCGACTCATAGCGAACGTGTACAGGGTTTCCGAGGCTGTAAATCTTTACGGGAGCAGAAAGCCTCATCTTTCTCCCACGAAACAGCTGGTAGTTTTGAACTGCTGACCCTGAGGTTAGCAGCCCGATTCCTAACCACTATGCTATCAGAGCTCCTTTAGCATATATATACACTTCTCTAATTGCCAGGGCACCAGTTTAATCAAGGCATCTCATGTTGTACATCATCCCAGGTAACAAAATTAATAGTGTTTCTTTTCGTGCTGCTCTCCTTTTAATGATTCTTGACTGTTTCTTTTCTTTTCAGTGCTTGAGACTTAGTTTGAACTGCTTAGTGAATCTTAGTATTAATTTGAGAATCAGATTCCTGGCATATATAATTTTTTCCCCAAAAAAGTAATTCTAAAGCCTGACTGAGTTTTTAGAATAGTTAAAGAATTTCTAAGGTCACACAGATAGTAAATGTCACAGCCAGAATGAGAACTTGCCTCTGACTGGTCGGGAAGATAGAAGTTCAGGGTTCTAAACTTGGCTTTATTATTTATTATCAGTGTGACCTTAGGCAAGGGTTTGCTTCATTATATTTTAAGTGGAAATTGGATTCCCTGCCCAGGTGACTTAAAAACAATAATGTGTCTCAAATAAGAGTGCCTTGAAAACTGTACAAGTAAAGTTTGCCTTCTTTGCAGTCTTGGTCACCTTTCAATGTGGGAGTTAGCTGGAAGTCTTAATAAGGAATTCATCAATTCTTGGTATATCCAGCACTGGGTATTTCTGGGTATAGTTTGGCATCCTTTTCTTCTTTACATTTATGGACCCATAGGTTTTAAAACTTCATGCAACCTTTATTATTTCTTATAGATCAATAAAACTATCTTTAGTCATTTTAAATGCCTATCTAATGGGATTTTTTATCCACGTTTAGACATTTGACTTTTATTTATTTGTCCATAGAAGTCACAAATATGGTAGTGCTATATTTAAAAATTAGGGTATTGTGACATTATTGATACTTTGTTTTCATTTTGTGGTTGTCTGTTACATGTTAACAACCAAATTTCCATTTCCTGAAACAGGAACATATATTTATTGTCATTAAAAGGAGACGTATATGTAGTAATTACATTTTGCCTTCTTTTTATATCTCTTGAAGGTCAACTGGATATCACTGGAAATCAGGACAAGCGGGCAAATTGGGTAATCGATCACACATGATGTCACAGAATAAAGGAAATCTTATTAAGGTAAGAAGATACCATTTGATTCTCAGACAATTTGCTAAGCAAGAAGATATAATTTATTTTTTCAGATCTCAAATTCTTTTCCACATTTAAGAGCCTATAAATCTTGTTTTAACTTTGCCTGGTATTAGATTTTTATTGATTTTTATAGATTAATTATTTTTCAATGTTCATTATTTAGACATATTTGTTTTCTATCTGTAAGTTGATTTTTAAAAATTAATGATGAGGAAAATTTAATTCGGTTCTAGTAATGTTCATTTTAGTTCTGTCTGTAAAATAGTTCTATATTAAGCTTATGCTTTTGATATAACAAACAACAGACTTTTTTCTACTTTTATTATATAACAGTTTAAGTGTTTTATATATGACTTCAAAATAGTAATTCATGCACTGTTGGTTTTATGCATGAGGATACACACAGGGAAAATATATTTTCAGATTCCCCAGTCTTAGAATTGCTTATCTTTGCGGTGTATTGTAAAAATAACATCACAGTATATTTAGATTAAAACCAGATGAGTGTCATTATGTAAAGAAAACTGTTATATGTTTCTGCATTCTTTAACACAATATCTGTGACTTTGTATGATTTAATTTGTACAGATTTTTTTTGTTTTATATACCTATCATTAATGAGCCCTGGTAGCAAAGTGGGTTACAAGTTGGACCGTTAACCACAAGGTCAGCAGTTTGA